CAACAAAACCAGAGAACAAGAGGACAGAACAAGTTCTGCCTGGAAGCAGGGGAAGTGGAGGTGCCCAAACTATGTATACACGTATGAGTAAATATAAAGACTATAAAATAAAAAAAGAAAAATATGCATAAAATTCTGCAATGATTTTCCATAATTTTCAGGATTAATTTCAAATTTCTCACATTAGCACCAATGGCCTTGCCTGAATCTGATTTACCTCTCCAGCACCCCCTCCTGCTGCTCACACCCCACAACCTAAATGTCCCAAGCAGAACTTGTGTTCTCCCCAGCAGACCCTTGCTGATCCATACCTACACATCTTTACCCAGGTTCTCTCTTTAATAACCTCTCCCCATTTCTTTGCCTAAACAAAGACCTGACTCAAGGCTATGCTCTAGAATGCCTGTCTTGACCACACTCTCCTTGGAGAAAAGAGAAAAATACTGGTTTTTCAAAACTAAATTATAAGGTGGTATTTTTTTTTCAGTGTCCTAGCGATTAGTATTGTCACATCTCAAACCTAGGACCCAGGCAGACTTGAGCTGTTGTCTTCTATAAGCTGTTTTGTATAATTATCACCGTTAGAAAATTATAAATATTAAAATGTGTTCAGAGATGGCCCTTGAATGCTTTTTAAACTTCAAGTTCATTTAAACCTCAGCAAATGCAAAGACCAGTCAGTGCCTTTGGACAAACGAAATAATCAATTTTGCCTCCTACAAAATTATTTTTTATAACCGAAAAAAAAGCTTTTCTTTACCCAAGAAGGACTTTTGGTACATCATGTAATTCTTACTCTTTTGAAATCTAATTTGAAACATAAATTGTTTCCCCCTCTTTTGATGGAGTTTTAGCAATACCATGAAATGAACGTTGTTTCCCCATTTACTTCTCTATGTTGAGAATGCCCTTCTTAGAATATAATGTGAGGAAAACTTGGGATTTCCTTTTCAAGTTTCAGTGACCCATTTTAGAGTATGTAAACTTTGGAACAAATTAAAATGAAAAGCTTAAAGAACCCTGAGATTGGTCAGATCTACTCTTTGTGAGTTGTGTATCAATTTATAAGAAAAGAACCTAAACCCCCACAATATGTGTCCAATTTTGTTTCTGGTTATTTTGTTTTCTGTCATTTTGAAAGGAGTAAGTAATTGCCAAAGTATACATTTCTTCTCTTGCTCTCTGCTCTAAAATCTCCCTGAACTACTGGCTCAGAACTGCTTTGAGGGAGAAAAAAACATTGTTCTATTTAAGGGGGGAAATGATGGGTCTTATCACTAGAAAATCAATAACTGGCAAGGTCCTTCAATTGTTCATTACATAAATATTTAATGAGCACCTACTACCTGCCAGGTAGAGAGATATGCAAAACCAGTCTCCTATGGGCATCACTGATGGGTTTCACTGTTACAGGATTCAGGGGACTGGGTCTGGGGGCCAGGAGATTCTAGGTCTAGTTGGAGAAAATTCAAATGATATAGAAGTTAGGCAGGGAGTTAGAAAACCTAATGGATGAGAACAATGGTTTGGGTGTTGATTTTAAAGTCACATCTTATCCTGCTGACATTAATGGAATGACTCATGACATAAAGCATGTCCCACATGCTGACCCACAGCCCCCAAACCTGCAGAAAATGACAAGAACTCCCCCGCCTGTCATGTGTGAGGAGTTAATGACCCATAACCCAGTTTTCCAGGACCCCATGTCTGTAGAGCCCACTAAAAGCTTGAGATGTTGGGACCTCCAGCATAGTGCTCCATCTTCAGCCTGCCTACCTTCCCATCTTCAGTGTGCATTTTTCCCTGCTTTCATTTTGCTTTGCATTAATAAACCCCCTTCCTGGAAAATGAATGGAACTGGAGATCGTCATGCTGAGTAAAATAAGGCAAGCTCAAGAGGCTGAACATCACATGCTCTTGTTCAATGATGGAAGCTAGACCTAAAATGGTATTAATTAATAATGATAATAATAATAATAATGGGACATGAATGCATATGGGGGACTGTCTAGAGGTGAGATCAGCAGGAGGGAGGAGGTGGAAAGGACAGATACTAAGAGGAGAAGAGGATTGAAGCACACTGTGTATATACATACGAAGACAGCAAAATGAAACCCAACAAACAGTCTGAAAAATGGAAGAAGGGCATGAAAATATACTGAAAGGAGTGAACTTGTTCAAGGTGTACTATATACTGTGTGGAATTATCACATTGTTATGTGATACATAACAATAATGTATACTGATTCAAAAATAAAATGATAATATAGACACCTAGGTGATTGACAAATGGAGGGTGATTGACCTTGATCTTGTCTTAAAGTAATTTGTTTTCCCATAAGGCACTTTGAGAACTCAAATTTTCCAAAGAATAGTCAACACAAGCAGAACGTCTTATTTACAAAGGACATTATTTGCTCCAACATTTTTCTATGGGCAGGCTAGACACATTTTCCTATAAATTTTGACAAAAGCCCCACATGATTTGCCAGCCTTCCTGCTCACCTGGCGATGGAGAAAAGGATTTCTCTCTGCTATCTACTTTGCACAGCAGCGTATGAAATGCTGTGTATTATGATTCAGCATCCTAGACCTCAAAGTCACCAGACACTGGTTAAGATTTGTACTCATTTTCATCAGGACCATGTCCCTTAAGCCCCCTTACCCCTTGTAGCAGTTCCAAATAATCCCAGATTTGTCCTTTAGTTCAAAAAGCTTCTCATATTTTCCCTCCTATTTCTCTGAAGAGAGCTAAAGCTATCTCTCAGTCAATATTGAATTAGGGGTTGAGTTGGAAGGCCTTGGTGAGCTCTTACTGAACAGCATCATGGAGTCACTTGGATTTTCCACGCACCTCCATTGTTCATGAGAGGAAAGCAACCCATTACTTTCTCTGTAGAAATGGAGAGCTAATGCAGCCTTATTTAAATATTATGACAAATTAGTACAGTCTGTTGATTTCCTTAAATAAATAAATAAATCTGTTCCTGCTTAAGTCTCCTCTGTGTCCATTTTTCAATTCTTTCTCTGACCAGAGCAAGAATCTTTTGGCCCCTGGACCGGGTGCTCTCCATCCAGTGACACCGTGATGATCTCTACCTTGCAAAATCTAGTGGTCAATTCTCTGTTCTCATCTCGCTCCTCCTCTTAGAGGATTTCCCCCTTTTCTTCAAATACTCTCTTCTCCAAGCTTCCACAGCGCCACCCCCTCCTGATTTTCCTTCTATCTTCCTGGCCCTGCCTTTGCTGGATCATTTGCAGGCTCCTTTTCCTGATAACTGTTGGACCTTTTTCTCTACCCACATGCCCATCTGGTGGTCTCCTGTAGACCAGGGGCTTAAGGTCATATATGCTAATGACTCCAAACTCTACCCTGAGCTCTAGACTATATCATATATGCAATTCCTCTTCGATATCTCCACTTGGATGTCCAAGAACCATCTCAAACAGAGCTATTGATCATCCCCCATGCCTTCACATCAAAGCCGTTCCTTTCTCAGTATTTCCAATTCAGTAATTAGAATTATTTGCTAGACCCCCCAATCTAAATATTAGAGGTAACAGAATCTAACTTAACCAGAGAGCTGTCATGTTTTTGTATAATGAGGTAGGCAACCAGAGCTGTACAGTGCCTCCTTAATGACAATCATGTCCCAGTCTTCTTCCACCTTTTTTCCACTGTTCTCATGGTTTCAAGGTGTCAGCCCCACTTCTAGCCTCACATCCACATTCAAATGGAAAGGAAATGAAAAGAGAGGAGAGGAGAGGAAAAAGGAAGGAATAAAGTGGAAGACAGAGCCTATAATGGAAATAGCAAAACATTCCCAGAAATTCCTGCTAGACTTCTGCTTATCTCTCATTGTCCAGAACTGTGTTACAAGCCCCAGCCCAACTGTAAAACCAGCAAATACAGCTTTTTAGCTGAACACATTGCTGTGCTACAGTACAGAAGGTGGAATGGATATGAGATAGGCAAATAGCAGCGGCTGCTTTGTCGTCCTACCCTACAAGTGCATCAGCAAGTCCTGTCAGTCTCTCTTCCCAAATACTTAATTTCACCTGCTTCCCTTTGTCTCCCTTGCTGAGCCCTGACTTGAGCCACTCATCATCTGTTACCTAAATAGACCACAGTAACGCTCTGCTACCCAGGCTCCATTCTCTACAACTGCCCTCTCTGTACTCCTTTCCTCACCCAGGTTCTAGGGTAATCATTGTAAAATATAAACACAATCGTCCCACTTCCTCTCTTAAAATCTTCCTCTGGATCTGTCATAGTTGAGTCCCCAGAAGCAGACCCTGAGCCAAGGATTTGCATGCAAGTCATTTATTTCAGAGGTGCTGGAGACACAGGGTGGGGTAGCTGGAGAGACAAGGAAAGAAGGGGGCTTCTCAGGGCCTGGTGAACCTCAGCGCCTGGGGAAGCACTAGGAAATGGTGTAAAAAACACTTGTCTCATAATTATCCTACTCAGGGGGCAAGGAATTGACACACCAACTCCCAGGAGTTACAGTCTTGAGTACCTGGCCTGATTCCACCCATTCTCTGATCTAACGTGGGGAAGAGGCCAGGACCTCTTCCTTTACCAGCCTTTCCGCTTACAACTCCTAAAGGCTTCTTCCATCTGAAGCAGAATTGCAAGAGTATGGGGAGAGCCAGTTAACCACTTTAATAGGGAAAATTTTCAAAATACAATTTAGGGATGATAATGTCTTAGAAGTTTGCCACATTCTAGTCTCATTTAAAAGTGGCAAAATTTTTTGTGATGTTCTCTATTTGACAAATGATGTGTACAATTATGTGTAAATAATATAGGTAAATTTTACATGGGGCATAAGATTTGGAATGTTGTGTAAAGTCAATATATTAAGATACACATAATTTAATAATACCAGCATTTAATTACATGTATATTTATAAGTCACGTTACTGTGTCTATAGAGCTGAAGGGTATGAATAACTTTCGATATGTTTCTTCCTTTAACTTAGCTGACTACTTATCTTTATTTGCCTTTCTTCTTCAATTGTTCTACAAAGTAATCATTACAAGCCACTGTCAGAGCTGCCACCATGACCACAAATTCATTAAAATCCACTTCATTGTCCTTGTTGGCGTCCAGGTCCTGCATTATCTTATCGACCAATTGAGGATCCTTTTGGCACTAAAAAGAAAAAGAAGATTTCTAACTCCAAGGCTTTGAGGTTCACGACGACAGTTGAAATCACATCTTTCTTTTATTTACATGAAAGTTTTAATTTTCACTTTTAGCAGCTCATGACAATTCCCAAGGGCCTATTTGGAGGAAGGTTCCAGTCAGGCATCAATTCTAAGTGAGTCTAGCCATTGTCCATGCAATGCCAGCTCAGACCTACAGACTAAGAAGAGCAAACAGAAGTTAATCAAAATGACCTACTGATGCTAGAAATGGACATTACAGGTGGCCAGGGCAGTGGCAGGCAGCCAGATAACACAGAGGCCTCAAAATCAAAAGGGTCAGTGAAAGACACTAGCACTTACCAAAAACAGGATTCTGAGCAATCACTTAACATTTAAATTTTTCCGTATTTATAAAATGTGAAGAATGTCTACCTACATGTTTGGAAGATACTGCAATAACTTTTGAAAGCTCTTAGCACCAGGATTGCTAGATTTAGCCAATAAAAATACTAGAGGCCTTCTTAAATTTGAATTTCAGATAAACAACACATTATTTTCAGTATAACTATGCCCCAAGTATTTTCATGGGACATAAAATATTTTACGTGACAGTGCTACTTAGCACAATGTCTGACACACAAAAAGAGGCCCCTAGAAAAGGGTAGTGCTCACAGGATGGTTGTGTTTCCTGGGTGGAAAGAAAAGCGGGAGCACATACATGAGATGCAGGTCATGAGGACGGGATTGGGAGGCACTGACCTCTCTCTGATTGGCTGCTAATGAGAAATGTTTCCAGTTCATTCTCCTATAGGAATTCCCATTGCCCTCTCATTGGCAAACAGCAATTAAGTGGTTGTAAACTTAAGTTTAAATGATCAAAATCAACCTGATCAAAATAATTCTAAATCTTGCTTGAATTGAACCATGTGTCAGATTTGCCCTAAGCTTTTTATTCTAAATTCTATGCAATCCAGTAGCCAAACTGAAATTTGGAAAAATTGCAGTGCCTATGGACTCCTAAAATCACTAAAATGGTATTGTGGAGAATTACTATATGAAAATTTTTTTACTTTAAGCTTTTCCCATAGACGATGTGGAGAAAAGAATGCAAGTACAATCACTATAGTCTTATTAGGGTTTGAACAGAATAGCATCATGCAATGATAATACGTTGTGCTAAAAATCGATTCAAAGCAACTCCATGAACATTAGACACAATTTTCCTCAGAGGAGGCCCCAAGCACCCACTGGAAAGCTTTGGGTATAGACGTATTGACTCCTGGCTATGTTGAGATGTGAATCTGTTTGCTACCCAATAGGTCACTGACCAGACACATCCTTTCATCAATCCCAATCAGCTTGTGCTTGGGTGACAAAGCTTTCTAAGTATTTGTCATTCACTAGAAAATTTGCCACCACAGCATATAGTACCCCAGGCTTCATTTCAGACCCTTTGTGTAATGTTAATTTTCAGACAGCTGTATAAAGTTCCAGGTATAACTAACAATAACTCCATGTGGCTGTAACTATAACTCCTGGTATAACCAGCTCTGTCTTTGATTGCTCTATTAGAATGCTGAATAATGGACTATAATTGTCAACCTTTGGAAAACCTCACCCAGGCAGCATGGAAAAGGGTACTGGTGCACACAGGGAACAAAAGTCTCTACTGTTTGCTTCCTCTGCACTTTGAACCTTGCTACAAATTATACTGTGTTTGTGATAGAATCATAGGCCAGTAGGTGCATAAACGCTCCAAATCTCACCCACCCTGAAGTAAATTTGTCAGAAAAGTAGACTCACCGAGAAGAATTCTGTGAGCTCTCTCTGCAGGAGCAGCTTCAGTTCCCCCTTGTTCAGCTTGAACCTGTCCCCTTCCCTACAAGAGTACCGGTGGAAGGTTCTAATTATGGCATCCATGGCCACCTCCAGCTGGGTGGGCATGTCAGCAGCAGAGCAGGCCAGCAAACCAGGGAGAAGGTGCTTGTTCAAAGGAAGATGGGGACACATCAACACCTTCATGAGAGCAGAGTAATACCCTTCCTGAGCCATCCCACTACACAAATGAAGGTTAGCAAACCATAATAATCTTCCATCAATGGACAGTTCTGCCATTCTAGAGCAAGCAGCAAACAAGAGCTTTGCAGAGGACCTCTTCCTCTCCCTCATCCCACTGCCCCAAGATGTGCAGTTTCAGCGTGTTCATAAGTTAGCAACCATTCACAGAGTCATATTAAAGCAGAACTAAAAGATACATAAAGGAGGAAGAAACTATTTAACTTCATACCTGGTGGGCTAGTACACAGCTTTGCAGAGAGGCATTTATAGTTAAACTATGAGCGTTTATACCTGGACTTCACCCTGCACACCCATTCCCAACAAATGAAAATTACCAGTGACAAGAGATTCAGTTGGAAGTGCCTCTGTTTCTGTTTTTAATCAGCCGAATGAACAGGTGTGAGCTACCGTCCCAAGGGCCATTGAGGAAGGCCGGTGCCCGTTGTGTGCAACAGAGAAGACAGGGGGAAGGAGGAAGCCTTCCATCCTCTGCCACATGGGAGTATGGATAGAAATGCAGTTAGTTGCTAGGAAGTTGATGACTAGGAATAAGGCTAAAAATAGACAGTCAAAGAAGAAACAGTGGCTCAAACCTGGAGACTCCTCAGCAAAGCCAGGAACAAAGTCAAGGGAATGAACTCAGAACAGACTGGTTACACTAACCCAATGGACAGTTGCACCAATGCAAAAAGAAAAACAGAGGAAGCTCTCCATGTGCTTATTAAGAGGTATAAAGCAGTGACTCTGGCTGTGTAAAAAAAATATATATATATGTATATATACGTATATATATATGTATACATATATATACGTATATATGTATATATATATGTATACATATATATGTGTGTATATACGTATATATATATATATATACATATGTAAAAATAAGAATATTTGCCTAAGGTGTATTTGTCTAAGGCATCATGGGAAAAAGGGCAGAACACAGTGACTGGGCATAAGACCTCTTATATTTTTTCCACTGAGTTTAGCTTCTTCAGTTATAGGAATGCATTATCTGGTCTAAAAATTCAGAAACAAAAAACTATGGAGCATCTGTGTATGTAAGAATCTTAATAGGGGATTTTCAAATGAGAAAAACTTAATGAAGAAAGAGTCCCTGGAAAAGCCAAAGCCAGAAATTAGCCACTGTGCTTGTAAATGCTACCTGTCCTTCTTTCAGTACTGAAATTTAATTAGATGGAAAGCAAGCCAGCCTTCTCTTCATTTCCTTTGAATAAGCCCATCCACTTGTAACTGTATCCTCGCATCTGTATCCAGTCACTATACTGAGACCTCCCTGCAAGGTCCTCAGGATTGTCTAACTCAACTCTCAAACATGTTTTAAGTATATTATTAAGGTGATAATGTGTATGGTAAAATAACAATATTTTGCATACTCAAGAATACAAAGGTAAAATTCTCTCTCCGCCATTCCCTACTCTGGAATCCCTGAGTTATCATGCACCTGTGTGAGAGGCAGTATCTTGGAGGCGAAAAGTGTGGGATGCTTTCCTTTAATTCTCGTCTCTTGGCTGGAGGTGTGGCTCAAACTGTAGAGCACCTGGTTTGCAAGCATAAAGTTGTGAGTTCAAACCCCAGTCCCACCAAAAAAAAAATTTTTTTTTAAAGAACTCTCACCTCTTTCACTAACTGATTGGTGATCCTGGGCTACTCAACACTCTGTGCCTCAGTTTCCCCAGTGGTATAAGTGAGGATAACCACAGTACCTCCCAGTAGAAAGGATTAAGTGAGTTAAAATATGTTCCTAGAAATAGTCAATGCTATGTCTATGTCAGCTACTATTATCCTTACAGAAAAGGTTACGTTATATTAATTATAATCTATAAAATATTATATGTGTATCCTTAGACACATTTACATAAGCAGCAACAACACTTACATACCTTGTTTCATTTCACTTAAAGTATCTTTTTTTACTATTATTATTCATTCATTCACATGTGCATACATTGTTTGGGTCATTTCTCCCCCCCGGTCCCTACCCCCACCCTCTCTCCCTTAAAGTATCTTTGAAGTCTTTACTGGTACATATAGATCTATGCTGCTTTTTAAATATTTACAGTACTTATGTATTTTATATTTTTTATGTGGGAGAATGTACCTACATACAGTCAAGAAATATTTATCAGGCTCTTTTGTTATTCTAGATCCTATGTACACATGACAGAAATTTTGTCCTCAGAGAAAAGCCTATTGCTATTTTATTGGAGTGTGCTAAGTAAAAGACTATAATATTATTGGATGTGGGTCACACACTAATGGGAGAACACGCACAAGAGGAATAGGGAAAGGGAAGGAAACCTAAAACTTGAATGTGGTTGATGTGCTCACTGTAGAGCAAATATAATAATCTTAAACTGGCAGAGGCCACTATGGGAAGGGGACCAGGAAGTAGTGGAGAGGTCTGGTAGAAATGAGCCAATGTGGGTTGTAACACACAGGTGCATGGAAGCAATGCTAGGAATCTCTCTGTAGAACTATCTATATCTCAAACTAGCAAAAATGCTATGTCTTCCTTATTATCTCTTATGTTTTCTCTTCAACAAACCTGGAGAACAAGAGAGCAGAACAGGTCCTGCCCAGAAGTGGGGAGGGGGAGCCAATAATATATACACATGTAAGTAAATGTAAAAACAATAAAATAGTAGATAAATAAATAAATAAAAGGCTGCATAGAACACTGATACTTTTTGCCTTGGGGCTCTGTGACCATTTTCCTGGGTTTGCTCCTCCTTTTTTAACACACTTACATTCTCCAAGATGGAAATGCTGCTCCCCTGGTGGTCACAGCTATTTCTATAATTTTAGTCACACCCCAAATCCTATCTTTGGGCCAGATCTCTCTGATAAGCCCCAGAATGATCTGCCCAACTACCTGCTGGACCCCTTCCTACTTGAGTGTCCCACGAGCTTTTCAAAGTTGATTGGGATTAAGGTCAACTCTTCATCTTCTCCCACCAATCCTGCCGTTCCTCCTAAAATGGGCCATCTCAGTCATCCAGCTCCCCTGGTCACCCTGGATTCTGTCACCATGTTTTCATTTGAACTTAGGGGCCTCGTGGTTTGGGGCATCACTGTGGTGGCTCCCTTACTGCTCCCTGTACAGTCTGTCTGTATCCCACCATTCTCATCTCCATTCTGCTGTCAGATTAGTTGATCAACAACACAAATCAACACTACACTCCTGAGCATTCCAAGGTGTGGTCTGTCCACAAATTGACCACATTGCCGGGCTCCTTACCTCGAATGCTAATCCCACCTGCTCTTTGACACCTCAATTCAAATGTCGCTTCCTCTGGCACATTTTCCTGCATTTCTCATAGGCACCCACCTTGTCATCTCTCATCCTCTTTGTTTCATCATTGTACTTATCAGGCAATTTTGGAATCACTTTTTTTTTTTTGTCCGTCATACACAGTCCAAACTGTGAATGAGTTTCTTGATGTCAGGGTCGAAATGTGGCCCATCCTTGCATTCCACAGTATTTTTAGCATGGGAAGTGCTCAGAAATCCTTGCTGGTGGGTGGATTAGTGAACAAATGAAGCAAAGAAGGAAACCAAGGTCTCCCAAGAACTGAGCCCTGTCTAGCTTAACTGTCCAAATAATTGATTGCCTTTATTCCACATAAAAATTTTGCTTCATCACTTGGCACTGGTGGCTCATGCCTGCAATCCTAGCTACTCAGGATGTAGAGATCAAGAGGATCATGGTTCGAAGCCAGCCTGGGCAAATAGTTTGCAAGAGTCTATCTCGAAATTACCTCACATAAAAAGGGCTGGTGCAGTGGCTCAAGATGTAGGCCTTGAGTTCAAGCCCTGGTACCTCAAAAAAAAAAAAAAAAAAGCTTCATCAAAGGCAGAAAAGGGAGGGGGGAGATAGGGTGGAGAGAATCATTTTGATAAAATAAAGAGATTAAACTTAGAATTCAACATTATCAAGTTAAGTTGCTTAAGTTACAGATGGATTAAAATTGGTAAATCATACAGAGTAGGTGGACCTCAATAGAATGATATTTAAATCATACTGAACCACAAAATGATTTACTAGGAGAATTCAAGTGACAGGTAAAAGTTTTAATAGAAAATATATTAAAGATTGTAATGCTGTGATTTGATTCAACACGTGAGAGTGTGGTTTCCGCACAGTGTGCTCTTAGGTTTCCCAGCAAGGCAGAACTCCCGGCTTCCTTTGGTGCATGCTGCCCCTCAGTGTCAGTCTTCAGGACTACATCAGGGACACTCTCCTTCCCAGAACGCACTGAAGGCTGAGGGCCCTTCTGCAGAGCAGCTCATCCTTTACGTAATCCAGCTCCAGCCTGCGCCCTCCAGGAGACTTTCAGAAACAAAGGTAATGTCAAAGGCTCAACAGGACTACGAGGGACACAAAGTTATAGGTGACGTGAAATCCCAAGTCAGTGCCTGTTTATAGCACAGACGGGCTGGCCTGTACACCTTGCTTGCTCTGTAAATTATTACTGTTTTACTTTTGCATTTTGGCCTGAGTCGTTACCCTTAGGCCCAAAATGTCCATCTTTGCTTGTGAGGTAGGGCACAAGGGACACATGGAAATATGAATTGATGGAAATTAAAGGAAGGACTATGCTGGGGAGATGAAAGCTTAGTATAAATCCGTGACAATGGGGACAAAAAGTAAAGTTGGTTCAAAGTGAGGTGTTGACCAGAAAGTCTGAAAGAAAGGAAATGTGAAAAATAAGCCATTATAGTAACTGGGAGGTGGCTGATACTGCCTCAGGCCGACCTCCCTCAGGCTGCCTGGGCTTGCTACAGTTCCCAGGAACTGCCTGCCCTTAGGTGCTGCTCTGGACCAAGACCAGAGTCACACAGGAGGCGAAGTCATCTCC